ACTTGTGAGCAGAGACGTATACGTTTCTGTTGTGAGGCAAACATACAAAGATGAAGATAAATAACAACATACATATTTACATCAGTCAATGATTTAATTTCATAAAAAAATATCAATATGCATAAAAGTTAACAAAACAATCACTACAAAAAAGTTATGAACAAGTATGCTGTCATTACATATATCTACATACATGTACATATATTTGATGGAACAATTTTTTTATTTTTTTTTAAACAAAGCAATGCAAAGGAATACTGAATAAAATATAATCATCATGAAATATCATGACTCGAGACCAGTTTTTGAGAAACTGATGCCTGTTTTGGACACCTGTGAACTTGAAAGAAGGTCAAGGTAATCTACATGATGAAACTTTAAAGTATTTATCCCAGGTACTTGCTGACCAAATATAAGGGCTCTGTGATTTTCAATTTAAAAAAGTAATTTAAAGAAAAAATTGACAGACAGACTTATGACAGACACTTCACTATACCATAAGATTATGACAGTTTGTACCAGAGGAGCTTAAAAGTGTATCTGAAGTTCATGAACCATGATATTTGTCTTTCCTTCATTCTGACTGTATGACCAAATCAGAAAAATCACAACAAGTATCAATCACTAGCCATGGTATACATGTCATTGGTCAATGCCCTTTTTAATTAATGTCCAACAATATGGTATTTTCATCGTCACATATACAGCAATGTCTTGTTTTCTCCATTCAAAGGATTAGGAATCCCAGAAGGACAAAGCTCTTGCAGTGTCTTACAGAACACTGCATCCTGATGGTAGGTCTGGAATTTGCCAAGAAAAGTTGGACATTCTGGAGAGAAAAAAATAAAAAAAAATATTGTCATGAATCAGACATAGACACTGTAGATATGATAGTTGTAACTGTATGATATGCTTTTGTGGTAGAATAGCAATATATACTCTGCGAGGTCACCCATTCATTTTTTGAAATTTGACTAAAAGTTGGTTCATACTAAACCTTCAATAAAACATAATATACCTTGAATACATCAGCATCATTTCATAGAAGAAACATATATTTTAAGTATATATACAGACCCCACTATGGAACTTCGAAACTGTGTTTATGATAATAGGACTAAATTATTATAATAACACCTCATTTTGAATATACTTAAGCTAACCACCTGTTTCAGGACTGCCAGTCACTGGTAGTGAATTACAAAGCAAGTTTCCATCTCATGGTTTGCATGTCTTTAGAAAGCTTCTGTTGTTGTGTCTCGAGGATGTCGCTGAATAAAGAGGACAATTCAAATAACAAGTTAACACTATGACGGGTTATCCATATAAATCTTGACATTCCATTTAGGTAACTAAACAAAATATTAAATTCTTTTATTGATCAGCATGAAGTTTAATTGTAGTGTGTTTAATATGTCTTTGTATTAAATGTCACCTAAGTGACAGGCATCTGGTTTCAAAAGCATATCCGATGGTCAGTTTACTGGAAGTAGTAAACTGATTGCATAATTATGAAGTCTATAATTTTATAGTGCTTAATTACTGAATCAATAGATAGAGTTGTTAACTATACATTAGGTTTCCTGCTTCAGTATTTTTACATAATTAACTATAACATCAATCATATAATAAATATTGAA